AATGAATGTACAAATGCGCTTTACACAATTGATGTGTGTATGGATTGTGATAAGAGTTGTATGAGCCCCTAATAAAATGATTTAAAAAAAATAATGTGTGTTTGCAAATAATGCTTTTGAGACATCATTCATAATGTTCTGTGTTCCATGTAAGGAATAAAATCCAACATGCTAATATTTCATGTGAGTGTGTTCATGAACATATTACTGTTATAAGCTATAATTTTATGATGAAATGTGAAAGCTTGAAGAAAACATTAACCTGAAAAAGATGGGTAAGAAGTGGGAAAACTCAATGCCCTCAGTGTGGCCGTCACAACTCCTCCAATACCAGATCTGAGGAACCTTTCCATACACGGCAACCTCTGGTCTAAACTCTGGATGTTATGATATCAATTAAGTGTGCAATTGCAGCGGCATCGACTAGACTGGGCTTTGTTCAATGATCCAAGTCGCCGGACACAGAGTGCCTTACCCAGCTTACCACACCCAGCGTTCCCTCTGCAGTTTTTAGGAAGCTGAAGAAAAATCTTGAAATTAGGAGGGTATGCATGGCAAGATTTGTTTTTAGAAATGTCATAGGACAGCAAGAGATGAAACACATTAGGCATGAGGGGAGAACATGGGAAGCAAGGTTATGTGTAGGAAGGTATGTTGCTAAAGTCTTGGTTCGATGATAAAATACATTCTTATTCTGCTGAGCTACTCTATATTCAAGCAATTTTTGTTTGATAGTGAATCTGGGATGCCATCTATCTATCTATCTATCTATCTATCTATCTATCTATCATCTGTCCATCCATATATCTAATGTATATTCCAAGTCTTTAAGACAAAGACTGTACCCATTGTAGACATGAAGAGACAGAGGTTCACAACGGTTGTCACTGCAACAATAGACTTGATCTTGCTGAGATGAAATGATCTATCCTAAACCTCTTCAGTGCTGGTCTTAGAATTTAAACATAGCTCTTGTACCAAAGCTTTTTACACCACACCATGATGTTGGATAAGAGGAGTCAGTGTGATTTGCTGGACAGGGGAATAGACTAGGAGTCCCGAGCCCTGGATTTTTATTGCCACTTTCTCCCTCACTGTATACGTCACCTTGATAATTCAGTCAGTTAATGTATGTATCTCTACACTGTCCGC